TGGGATCCCTCGTATGACTGGATCTAGTTTCAAGAACTCTCTTGAGTCGATCGCGATTAAATCTCGTTTCAGTCGAGATTGAAACGGTCGATGGAGGTTATATGCGAACGGCGACAAGTGGAACATGGCGAACGGGGTATAAGGCTCTAGTTTAGTAGTGTTACAGAGTATAATACGTATATTTTAATATATTTTTTAAAAGAAACAAAACCGCTGAGAAATGTTACGTGTGTTTAACAACGGGTTCGGAAAACTTTGAAAATGTTAACAACGGGTTCGGCCGAACCTGTGCGAACCCGCTGAATATCACCACTGGGCTTACTGAAAGAGGTCCTCTTAGTCCCCACAGGGCGGAAAGAGTTAAAAAAGTTAAAAAAAAAGCGGAGAGAGAAAAGAAGAAAAAACTTATTAAATAAAAGTAGAATAAAATTTTTTTGATAATCGTCTTTTTTTAAAAATGAAAAATGATGAAACCAACGAAAAGTTTTAAAAAGTCGCTAATAAGCAACGTCAACAATTGAAAATCTGGCAACATGTAAATGCCGATTGCGTCAATGGCCGATCCGGGAAAGACACGTATTTATTTTGAAGTTATGTTGCACGTTTAAATCACGTTTTGTAATCCATAATTTACAAGAATGAGACGGCCACTTTCTTGTAAGTTCTTTTATCATATGCTTAATTTTTAATAAATATTTGAATTACGTATTCTATATAATCTCTATGGTAAATATATAATTGTGAACTTAAGGCAAATGTTACTTGACGTTTTAACAGATTATTTTGATTTTTCTATAATAATGTATGATTTATTTGTACGTAAACGTGATTAGCGACTATTAATTGTTGCGTGCGTTACAGATAACCGCTTTAGTTATGAAAAATAAGCATTTGGACAGGCCATTAAAAGCTTGTTTGGGCTCAGATAAAGGGGGTTTCATACCAAGCCATATGGTGAAGTACTTATGCATGGTTGCAACATCATAGATGATTTCTTCAAACCTTCATATACAATATATATCTGTATATATAGGTAATAGGTATATACATATTGCTTGCAGCCGAAAAGAGTAGAGAAACAAAACTATAACAAAACATACATTTTATTGCACTTTTAATACATTATTTACCAAACTCATACAAGTTGACCCCCCTATAACACTGTTGATAATTCCGTGTTATATGAATTTGACATTGTACGAGTCACTTAGATTTTACAAATACGTGTGCCGGGCTGTGAATGGCTCACGTATTTGCAAAATCTAAGTGATTTGTACAACATGAAATTCATATAAAACGGAATTATCAACAGTGTTATGGGGGGTCTACTGTATTTGAACTAATTTTTCACTCTTCTCTAACTGCAGTTAAATAACAATCAAATCTCAAAAAAAATTCTTTAAAATGCAGCTTTTTATTAACTTTTCAAACATTTTTGGCCATTTGAATGACCTTCTTTGGGAATAAAAATTAAATGATTCCGATTTCTATAAAACAAAGTTTATGGAATGATTTTAAACATTTGAATTTTCATAGATATCTAGTGCGCACGTCCGTAAATAAAAATACAATATATACAGGTTACTTGTACAAATATACATATAATATACTATAGATTGATACTACTCATGCTAAATAATGTATAGTAGGACAGAGTTCACTGAGTTCGGCGTTATATTGCCAAACTCAGTGAATTCTCTGTCCTGCGAAATATACATATAAACGATGTATAAATATAATACAAGAATAAATAAAAATAAAATGAATAAGTAAATAACTAAAACAGTAACACAACTATGCCTAATTCTTTAATTGTTTGTCCCTTTTTCATACTGAAATATTCAGATTATGCCTGCTTTTCATGCTGCTGAGACTTTACTCGATTCTCTGAATTTTATTGCTTGTCCTTCCTGGTTGGTCTTGTGCATTTGCCATGCTTCTGTGTATTTAAGGTGTCTCTTGACCAAAGATGTTTGAAAAGTTAATGAAAAGCTGCATTTTAAAGATTTTTGTCGAGGTTTGGTCGAACTAATTTTTCCTTTCTTCATATGTAAAGTCACTATATAAGGTACCATACATTGATTGTTTTTTCTTACATGTTTTTAAAAGAGACATATTTGGTAATTACCAATTACTTAGTTAAATGTTCAACAGTATCACAAATAATTTTTTAAATGTTTAATAGAATATGAAATTCTTCAAATGCTTCTTGTCCCATTCAATATTGCTATCAATTGATTACATTACAACTATTGTCCATCATTAGAGCAGGCTCCTTTTGTCCCTTAGTGGGTTTTTTTTTAACAAATGAAGTATGTAGAACGTTTCTTTATTAATAAATAACAGTCTTAAAGATTTTATTTTTTGTTAGTTAAAAATAACATTAATTTATAGAGATAGAAACCATTAGGGTTCCTAAGCTTTCTCCTGGTCTGGGGAAAAATCCCCAGCTTCCCTTTCTTCATGGCTCTGCATTTGAACCAGAGATAACTTCTATGAAACATAAATCTTTACACATTGTTAAACAAATAACAATCACTGAAAATAAAAACAAAGTAATGCATTTGTCATTTTTAAATAAAAATGAATTTAGATGACTATAAATTATAATTTTTCTATATTTTTTATGATAACACTTTTATATTCCATGAAAACTGTATGCTAAGTTTTCAAATAACAGTTTTGTTTAAAGTAGATTAAACCAAATTATGCATATTGAATGTTAATAAAATTTGATAAATCAGTTTATAATAATTAGAAAATTAACTTATTCAAATGTTTTTGTAACATATTTTTAATTGCATGAATAAAAAGTAATAATTTGATTATAATTTAAAATTAATTATTTTATCAATGATTTTATTCTTACTTAAAATATTATTTTTTACCTCCAAATCTTGCATTAAAATTTTCATAATATAATTTTAGCAGAAGGAAGTTATTCCTATCCTAATAATACAATTGAAGAACAAAATGAGCAACTTGTAGATGGTTTAAAACATAAAATTTCAACTCTGAAATCGGTAAGTTATTTTCTACTCAAGTGTTATTTGTATACTGAACTGGCCAAATTATTATAGTTTTAAAATTAGTGTTTAAAGTTTTATTGTTGAAAGTACATATTCAGGTTACATCATAATAACTCTCCTGGAATATAAATTAATATAAATTACTGAGTCTTATGTTTGTTTAGAATGTTGAAGCTTTTGATGATTACTGTAAAGAGAATCCTTGAAGAGGGGCTATTTGTCAAAAAGTTAATAATTACATAAATTATTTGGTTGAATTATTGTTTCAAATAGAACTTTAAAGTGCAATATTCAAAAGAAAACATTTTACAATAATTTGTTTAGCTTGTTATAAAGAATAAAAGTGTTATATTCCTTATCTATCTTTTAAAACACATAAAACAGAGGAAAAGAAACTAGAAAAATTAACAAAAATGTTGAATTGAAAGAAGTAAGTTTCCAGGAGTTGAATTAAACATTTTATCAAATATATTTAAGGATTATTCTCCTCATCATCAGAATTTACATTTAAGTTTTAAAATTGATAAAAATTTCTAGGCTTGTTTCTGAATATAGTATTCAATCACTAGACAATATGGATTCCTCTCTAATGGGAATTTATACCATTTTTGTATGTATAGTCCTACAGTCGTGAATAAGTTTTTTAGTCAAGGACTGATGATATGTGTATTCTAGCTTTCAGATACAATAAAGTAGGGTAGAACTAAATGTTAGAATGTTTGCTGTAGTTAATTCTCATTGTCCATGCTTAGTGTACATAAATTACACAACACTGAAGAAGTTCATCCATAAATCACATATCCTATTTTCATTAAAGTTTAAAATGCCACCCCTTAGTATTGATAGTCAAGTGTGGCCTCACCCCCATATAAAACCACATGGAAATTTCAACAAATTTCCTTTTTGGAAAGGTAAATTATGCCATTGTAAAAAAAACAAAAATACTTTTGCTGTTTTCATCACTTCTTTTATTTTCATTATCAATACCTATTTGTTCTAATTATAAAAATTTCAATTATTTGTATTTCATATTCTTGCTGTTTTACATTTAAAAACTAAATGTTATGTATATATGGTTCAACAATGCTTATAAAAAGCTTGTCTGTTTTCCTTATTTTAGTTTGTTTTATCTTGTTTGTTTCTTGCTTGTCTATAATTTAAAATTAATGAATATAAACAAGAGCAAATTTTTATTTCTTTCACTTGGAGGAATATACTTTGCTTTTACCTCATTTATTATCATTTCAAGTATTTTGTACTCCTGATGTTTTTTAATGCTATCTGTTGGATAAACACCAATACATAACAAGATGTACTACTATATATGACAAACATTATGGTCAAAAGAATACTAAAAATGAAACTAAACTAATTATAAACAAAAAAAAAATAATAATAATAAAGTTAGTCTAAATTTCAGTACATTGAAATAATAATAATATATCAAAATAATTATATTTAATAAAATGATATTCTTCAATATTTAAAAAATTAATGTTTTCTATTTGTTATAAGTACTTAATTATCATATGAATGCCAGTTTCTAGAGTTTTTTATGAAAAAAATACTCTTTAAAATTTTCCTTGTAGAATATAATTAAATTTATTACATCGTGTATTTTAATTTTATATTATGTGACTAAATATTGTCTTCTATTTGTTGAAGATTTTAGATGTGTGAGTCAAATATTTCAATTTTTATTTTTTTTCATAAAGAAATTCTGAAAGACTGTTTTTGGTTAGGAATTTTTCCTCTGTGTAAGTGTGGTAATGTTATTTAATTCAAAGATTGTAGAATTAATTTTACAATGTTTTATAAGTGGATTTGATATTAAATGTATTTGTTAATTTGTTTATCTATATTTATAAGAATTTTATAGCAAAATTTATAGTTATGATTATACAGATTTATTCAAGTTTAAAAATATTTAATCAAACAGTTGCTAGTAATGGAGACTATTTTTGAATTTCTATGTGCTATTTGTGTATGCAAAAATTCCGTATAATGTATTTTAAAGAATTTTTAAAAGATTCCACTATTATTATTTTTTTAAAATAAATTATTTATTGTAAATATTAATTTTTAAGCTTTCCATTGATATTGGACAGGAAGTAAGAACTCAGAATAAATTATTGGGTGATATGGTAAGTGAAAAATTATTATGATTGGAAAATTTATGAATTCTATTAAAAAAGAATATTAGTACATATTTTACTAATGGTAAAATATTTTATTATTTGCAGGATAATGATTTTGATTCCACAGGTGGTTTTCTATCATCAACTGTAGGCCGAGTTCTAAAATTATCGAAAGCTGGACATAATCGTTACATTTTGTATTTAATATTATTTTCATTTTTTGTATTCTTTATGATTTATTTAATTATGAAGTTTCGGTGAATAAAATAGGTTTTAAATTCATTTATAACAAGAATTAACAAAAGCTGTGTTGTTGTTTTTCATTGACAGAATAAGAATAGTTATCAAGAATTCTTATTAAATAATTTTTATTTTGATGACAATATACATATATAAGAAGATAAATATTACTAATATTGATTAATATCTTTAAAAAAAATTATAATAATAAAGATTTCCAAAAGAGACAAACTTTTAATACTAACTTACATTATTTTTATTTATTTTTCCCCCCACATGTTTCAACTATTACTAATTATTTTGAATTTGACAAATGATAATAATAAATAAGTTTTTGATCACAGAAAATTTGATTATGCTTTTTATAATTAAAAGTACAGGGTGTTTGGCTTAAAGGTTTAATAAAAGAAAAATTTATAACTTGCATTGTATTTGTATCAGACTAAAAGTGTGTGGTTAATTAGATATACTGCAACTTTTGCCATGCCTCATCATCATCTCAGCACCATTTTACAATAAGATTTCTGATTCAAATGAAACAATTTCTGAATGGAGAGTCTCAGATGATAATGTACTAGACTTACTTTTCCGGCTGTCATGTAACAAGGGAAAACATTAGAATTGTGTGAAATTTGACCCTTTGAGTTTTTTGCAAATTTCCACGTTAGAGATCCTGAATCCGAAAAAATCAAAAAACTGGTAAAAATTTCCTGTGTGTGTGTTTTGGCATCTATTTTGCATATCTCAGGATGGGGTAAAGATTAAGTACTGAAATTTGGTATGGTGACTTGTATATGAGGGGTTTTGATGTTATTAAATTTTAGTGTTTAAAGGTCAAGGGTGTGGGGAGATAAAGAGGGGTTGTGTATCTCCAGTAGGGTAAGACTTAATAACAATTTTACTTATTGACATTTATACTTTTTTTATAAAGCTCATCCCTACCCTCAAAATTAAGCTTTTTGATATTTTATAGTAATTAAAAATATAGAAAGCTTTTATAACACAATCACATAACAGATGGTGCTATACAATTTTACAGCTGGGAAAGTTATACAACTTGTTGCTGGATTTTTTTCCTATGGGTTTTGAAGAACAGTGCGTGTTTATATCTGTGTATAACTTGAATGATCTGAGACTCAAAATCTATTGGTCTATCAACAATATCACATCTTAAATATGATTGAAGGTGGAATATAAGTTGAACATATGCTATACCACTGTTAGTGCATGTATAAAAGTAAGTTGAATGTAAAGAAGAAAATGTGTTTCAAGAGTATCAGAAGACGACAACTTTTTCTATTAAATTATGATAAATTCTAATTTATACACTTTTAGTTTATTAAATCTTTAAGTTGTACAGGACACCCTGTATTTTATGTATATGTTACTATATAAATGAAGATTATAATTTTATCATAATCTGGTTTCTAAATTATATGACTATATAAATGTAATATCAGCATAACATCATTTCTATTAATACACTTCCATTATCAAACCAGAACTATAAATCATCACATCACACATTATATTTAAATATTTAAAAAATTTATATATGAATATATAATGATTAACTTTTTAATATTTCTAGAATATAATTATGTATTATACAAAATTTTATTTGCTTGAACATAATTTCTGTTTTTTATAAAAATGTTTCTTTCACTCAAAGATAAACTAAAAACAATAAAACAAATTATGATGATTAAATGAAGTATTGAAAATTCTACAATTGATATAAAACAAAAAACCAGGAAACCCACAGTAATGTATGTCACTTTTAAACAAATATTAACCTTAATCATTTTTTGGTGTATTATGTGAATGCCTTTCAGTTTATATTTGTAATGAAGAATATTACAACTTTAAAATTTTTAACTTTTGCTTGCTTGTTGATAGCATGATTTTTCAAATCATAATGTTCTAATACAAGTTTGTGCTAATAAGGTGCTAGAAAACAGTTTAAAGTCACTTAAATTTTATTTATATTTTTATATTGTTGAAAATTATTTATTTCTGCTGTTAATGTACATTAATCAAAAGAAGAATACAAATTATTACACAATTATTAAACAGAAATTTAAAAAATTAACAAAAAAATATTAGAAAGTTAAAATTTTAATGAAATCTACTTGGAAAAGAGTTAAAGGTCACATATGTAAATAATTTTCACAACTGTTAGTATGTTTAGACTTGTTACAAATCTGCTATAAGTGTTTTACATGGTATTATTCTATAATTTTACTTGCAACAAAGCCAAAGGAAAACATTTATCAGAATTTGAGAGGGTCCAAATTTTAGTGTTTTTGGAAATGGAATTGATTGGATGATTTAAAAGTGTGGAGAACAGTTTTCTACATACTCTGGAAAATTATGGTACCAAGAAGGACAGGAAGTTAACAATTGTGATCTTCCAGTCCTTTTCTGTTACTTAATGAAAATTGATTAAGTAATTCAATGAAATTAATAATGTAAAATAAATGTTATACTACCTTTTTATTATGTACAGAACTAACAAACAAATACACAAATTGGTGGTGCCATTTGTAATATACAGTGAAATCTATTAATAGAATAGTTTAGATTTTATAATGTATACAATTATTTTATGATAATTATATTCACTGAGGAGGAGCCAAAAGAATCTCAAAGTTGGCTCAAAATGCATATGAAGTATTTCAAATATATTCAATAAAGGATGGGTTGAAAGCCTAGTAGTCTTGAAAAACCAGTTAAATTGCAAAATCAGTTTAGTGAATTATGTTGATGTAAACATAAATATTTTATGAAAACAGTACACATCCAAACCTTAAAAGAAAAAGAAATTCTAGGATATTTTTTTTATGCAAACATGTTCATGTTTCCATAAAAATTTCCACATTCCATTTGAAAATATTTTAAGCTGAGGAAGATCTGTGCAGAAGCCCTACTAAGGAGGCCAGTGTGCTGGCGAAATGCATTTGGGGATAAGTGTGAAGTAATAAAAATGTGTTTTTCTCTGTACAAAAAACTGGTTTGGTTTTTTAGCCTTTCTAATTCTACTTCATTTTTAGTAAATGTTTTAAAGTTGAGAAATCATTAGTCGTCCACAAGTCAGAAAGGAAGGAAAATTTGAATTTTTGTGTACTTATAGTACAATTAAGTAAGACTGATAAATTCTGACTACATTATCTTAAATAATTTATTTATTTTTATAATTGTAAGTTTTTGATTTTTGATGAATTTTATCAAATTTAAAATAGACCAAGCCAAGTATTTTTACAGATTTATATCAAATGATAAGTTTTAAGTGAAATTTTGGTAATGTTTACAATATGATTCTAAATTTAAATATTTTTTAAACATTTTGTTCTTTTCCATATTTATATATATATAAAAGTGTATTAGTTGTATATATATATATACACAACTAATACACTTTTTATATATTTATCCAGATATTTTATTTATGTTTGCAAATAAAAATAAATTTGGTTCGAGATTATCCAAGTCGTTTTTATTGAAATCAAGCTTTCTAATACAGTACAATATATGCAATTAAGTCAATATATTGTGTGTTAATACAAAAAAATTTATTGATATTTCTGTTAATAATATTTTATATATTATTAAATATAGAATCAACTGAAAAAATTGCATATTAATTATCAAAAAACAATTATTATTTTAAATATGAAATTGTTTTGAGGAAAAATTTTTCATTTAAATTTTTTGAAAAACAATGTTTAACTAATTACATTATAACAGGGGTGTCCAACCCGCGGCCCAAATCAAGTTCCAATGCGGCCCAATAAACGTTTAAACAAAATCGACAAAATGTTTTAATTTTTTTATTATTTATTTATCTTATTCTACTGTTCATATATAAGCTTATCTTGTAATACTCTGTATAATTGCCCTGTTGTAACTGTACAGTACATCATACCCGGTTGTGCCAATGTGGTACCGGGTCTNTGTATAATTGCCCTGTTGTAACTGTACAGTACATCATACCCAGTTGTGCCAATGCGGTACCGGATCTGTACTATGTGTACTAATAAAGAATAATAATAATAAATAATTATCTATTTCAACGGCATAAACTCAAAAAAGAAGTTTCACATAGCCGTAAACCTTTATTCATATTTTATTTTTGAGTGGAAAGAAAATATTTACAACAGGGCTGTGGAGTCGCGTAAAAATCTACCGACTCCGACTTTTCCTTATCATCCTACTCCGATTCCGACTCCGGCTAAAATACCAAAACTTCACTACTCCGACTCCGACTCCACTGCCCTGATTTTCAAATACTTGGAAATGTGTGAATGAGGAAGGATTACTAAATAAAGCTGGAGTTCTGACTCAAAGGGTTATAGACCCAAATTTGGGAAAAGGAGAGAAAGATGAGAAAAAAATCAAAAGATGTAGTAGTGAGAAAGGTTAAATAGATCTTCTGTTGACCCTTAATTTCAATCTTTCTCACTTTTTCATCTTTTGTCCTTTCTCTCCTTTCCCGCACTTGGGTCTATAATCCTTTGATTCACGACTACAGCTTTATTTAGTATTTTTTCCAAAGTTGCAAGATTTGGCTACATTGCGCCAAATGTGGCTACTTTTTTTTTGTTTGACGTAAAAAATATCATTTGGCGCTTTGGGTACTTTTTGGGCTACATATGATTTATTATTATATTAGTTGAATAAAAATGCACTTTAAAATGGAGTTTCGTCGCTTTTTATTAATTAGAGACCCAAATAAAACAAATATTTTGTGTTTTTCAAAAAAATTTTTGTTTGTACCTTTTATAATAAATGAATTTATTTATTTCTAAGTAAAAATTGAAAGTTTCTGTAGAAGTAATTTTTAAAATATCCTTTTTCTTGATAACATTTTAATACTTATTATTATAATCTAGACATGTTAATCCTTAAATATACTTGTATATTCGGCCACAAGTATATATTATATGTACTTGTGGCCCAAAACTCCTTAACTTCTTCCAATGCGGCCCAAAAAAATAAAAAGGTTGGACACCCCTGCATTATAAACTGATAGTCTATTTGTGAAGTTGACTGAGCAGTTTGAATGCAGAGTAACAAAGATGAATTATGATAAAATGAAATTTTGAAACTGAAAGTTTGCATTTATCAAGTTAGATTTTGGATATAATAATTTCAAAAACATTTTTTTTTATTATAGAAGTTTGTAATGATATTTCAGTCTTGTGTAAAGATTATCATTCACAATGTTCTAGAAGTCTTCATAACATCTTCATTTTGGAATGGATTAAATGTTGCACTTGGCTCTTCTTCCATCTTCAAATTCTTAAAGATTCAGTACTGCAAATGAAAGCTAGATCAGTGTTGTATATTTTTTAAATAAAAACTATGAATTAATTTTAAAAATTAAATTTTAATCATCGTATGCTGTGAATGAGTACAGTAAATCCTTGATTTAGCATATTATCAGAGGAAAAAAATTCCATAACTTTCAAAAACATGAAAACATCTCAAAATGAAGTTGCTTTTGATGTTACTATTGCTACCTACAGTAAACTATTGATAACAGTCAGAATAGGTTAGGAGTAACAGTGGTTTCTGTTTGAATACATTTAGAAACTTAATGAAAAATTAATTTTATAAAAAATTTTAAAAAATTATTTATTGTGACATCATCACAATGCTGGATTGCAATTTTTAGATCAATGCACAATGCTATTGATTTTAGTAGTATCATGCCCCTGTACATCATGCTTTTCCTGTTAACAAGGGAGCCACACTGGTCATTATCTAACACTGTTCTTGAGAAAATTTTTTAATTGAAATAATGTTACTTCCTATCCAAACCAGAAGTTCATATAAAGTTAATCAGACCTCTGGCCTCCTAAGCTTTCCATACCTGGTCTCGATTATCATATATCTAGCTCTATTCTCCAGATTAAGAAGGGCAGGCACACAGATGATGCCAATGGAAATTGATAGGTCTGCAATTTTAAAATTACAACTCAACAACTTCAATACTACTATAGAATGAAATCTTATATATATATTCATATTTAAAGTGACCATTTTTTGCAAGCCGAAGCAAGATACTTTTTATGTTTTGGCTATTTGTATATCAGACTCCACCTACACCCATCCACAACTTTACCCTGCTCTGCTTTGTACCCTGCAATCTATACTGATTGCAAGTCAACACAAATAAGGTTGTTACATCAATCAACCCAAAATTCTCAATTAATTTCCTACATGTACTGTAACCAAAACAATGTAATGCCTATATATATGTACAAACTATCATATTTAAATGTAAAAACATTTAAAACATTGCTTTCTGAGCCTAATATGATGGTTAATAAATAGCTATATACGTGATAAGCCACATACACAGGGCTGTGCGGTAGATTTTCTCAATATGGTGCAAAAGTCTTCGAAATGGCGCCTCTTAAATGCTGCTTATGCCACACCCCCCTTACGGTGCCGCCTGATGCGGCCGTCTCTCTGTATAATAGCACGGTACGGCCCTGAGTAGGTTCAGCATTAAGGTGATGGCGACATCTGAACGAAAGTGTGTCGGAGCTCCGTCTTGTTGGAATATGAAGTCTTCGCAACTGTCCTCTAATATGATATTGGCCATTATTGCAGCATGTCTAGATATACGATATCAAGTAAGTTTGCTCCACAAAGAAAAATGGATCGTACACCTTGGAAGAGGAAACAGCATAAAACATTCAATTTAGGGGAATAACGGATGTGTTCCACTACTATATGAGGAGATTCTGTGCCCCAACTGCGTACGTTGTGACGATTTACCACGCCACACATGTATTGCCCCGTCACTAAAACTAGTTTTTTAGCAAACCAATCTTTGGAAATGCACGTAGATTTGGAAATCAAGATCGTGATCTTGGTGATTCATCGCTTGCAACAGCTGCATTCGATATGGTTTCACTCGAAGACGTTTACGTAGAATACACTATATTGTTGGTTACGAGATCTGCAATTCCAAGCTGGTACAAACTAGGTCCTGTCAGCAGACGACTGGCCTGTTCGTTTTGAAGCGTGCAGGCTGATGAAACTCGGTGTACCATGAATGAATTGTCTCGTCTGTCGGAGCGTCTGTGATATTCTTTGCGAAATCTTATTCACAACAAATTCCCATTTTGCAAGATCTAAGACGCAGAAAACTTTCTTCTTACCAGTGAATGTGTTAACCACTACTTTCTGTTATGGGAAGTGTTGATGTGATATGATGCTATGACGCTTCTTCCCGCACCAGCTATTTTCGATATGCATATGCTTGCCAGCACGACATTTTTCATGCAATTCTAACATTATAACCAATTGTATAAAGAATGTAACGCGAGACTTTTCCCGCGTATTGTTTTGTAAAAGATATTGTATTGAATTTTTGAGATACCGTAAATATAATTTTTCTTATATTACTGTATCGAGTACACACACAAAAACATTTTAATGCGAGATACGAACGTTCTGTGAAGTTTGAGTAGACCCTTTAAGTTAAAAGCTAAAAGACGTTCTACTTAAAGCAATTTAATATTTAATGTATATAAACAATATAGAATTACAAATATAGACAATAAAATCAATGTTGACTCAAGTAAGTTTGAAGATTGTTTATGAAATAGCTTAATTAGCCTATATCTAAACTTTTGTTTGATTATTAATGCTCAGGAGAAAAATTTCATGAAAATTTTACGAGGTAAAGAAGAATCAAAGAAAACAAAAACTATATATAGAGTCTATATAATTATNATAACATCACAATCTGATAATTGTGGCTATACATCATTTTCCAATAGCAACTTGTATAATCGCGTCTAGACTGAACATTTATAAATATATTTAGATTCTAAAACATCTTTCAATAATTGATACCATAGTATAAATTGGTGATGAACCTTTTCTGGATTTGGGCCACATGCATTTTTTTCTTAGACTGAGTACCAACATATTCCACAGTCACTAGTACAGTACACTAAGCCCTGAAATAGTATATGCTAATGATATGAAAATTAGTTATATAACTTTAATTTATTCTCATTTTGAGTTTAGTTTGAATGCTCATCATCACAAATATCAGCTTAATTAGGGTTACGTAATGGCATAAGACAGAAAATAAGTAATTAATTTATGTTTCTAAAGCTCTATGGACCAAATATTAGGACCTAATGCAGCCTGCAGGTTGTTTATCACTGCCATAAATAATAATAGTAAAACATCTACTTTAAGGAAATCAAAATTTTGTTAAAAATATTTCCAATTCTTTATTGAATTATTGTCAACTTATAAAATATTTTTGGCTGCAATTTGAAAAAATTGTAGACCTGTAAATTCCCACTGTCATCCATTTGTCCATTTCCTTAATCTCGAGAATGGAGTTAGATAGATGAAAGATGAGACCAGATATGGAAACTTATGGGAAGGAGGCCCCAATTAACTATATATTAACTTCTGATGCAAACTGGAAGTTGTGTTATTTTAATTGAAAAATTTCCCCTGAAAAGTGTTAGATAGATGACTAGCACAACTCTAATGTCAAAGGAAAAGTATGATGTACAGGGGCAAGCCATTACTAATTTGAAGTGGAGGGCATATACCAGACATGGGCAAATGCAGCTCTTTTTGAGTTACATGCGGCTTTTGCTGAAAGTGTTAATTTCTGCTTTTTACTATTATTTTCACAATTTTGTGAAAATATGTTTATTAAAAAAATTCAATATTTGTTTTATATTATATAATAAAATCGCGGTACATAATAAAAAAAAGTACAGAATTGTGGCTTCCATGCATTTTGCAAAACCTACATTTCGGCTCCCACTGAACTCTTGCTTAATTAAACTAGATGTAGCCTATATACAGTACCTACATCTAAATTACAGTATATTATGTATCATAATAGCGTAAATCGATACCTCCTAAGGTCAGCATTCAGAATTAACATCTTTCTTTTCACATTTCGACTTTTTTAAATTATCCTTTTCAACTGTGATGTGTATTGATCTTTCTTTATATAAAGGAGAAACTCGAATCCTTAATAATCCGTCTTTCGTTAATTCCGAGGAAACAGATTCGGGATCAGCATCTTCCGGAAGTTGGAAAACACGTCGAAATTCTCTATATGCATAATTTTTCTTCCTTTCGTATTTTTCTTCGTGCTTTCCGGTAATTTCTATCTGTCGTCCTTTCATCTTTATTTTCAATTCTTTCGGTTCATAATGTTTTGTTTCATCCAGCTCTATTATAACATTACTTTCAATACATTTTCGTTTCAATGAAATTTTATTCACGTAATCTTTAGAATATAGAGAGTAAAGATTCTCTAATTCGAAGAACAATTCATTCTGAAGATCGGCTAACAAATCGCTGAAAGGATAACAACGTTTAAAGCATTTGTGACGTACGTTGTTATTTTTTCTCCATAAAGAAAGTAAAGCCATGGTTAAAAGTATTCACTAAATTCTGCTTTTAATGCTAACGTTTCAATTGTTTAAGAATTTGTGTATTTACATGCACTAATGTTTGTTCTATTTATTCTAGAAAGAGCTGCTAATTTCAGCTTGCCAGCTGATTACGACGTCATATCATATAAAATTGTTGGTGACTGTTACGTCATACCAAAAGTCAAATTGATTGGTGAGTAATTGTGATGTCATTTCAAAAAGTCATAAATACATATACGATTTGAATTATCAATACAGCTGTATAACTTTTTCATTTTAGAATTGCAGTATATTATTTATTTTTGATAAATAATGCAGATTGATATATTATTTGATTTTCAATTTTTTATAATAATAATAATGTTTTTAAAAATTTTTAAAAACATTATTNAATTTTTGAGATACCGTAAATATAATTTTTCTTATATTACTGTATCGAGTACACACACAAAAACATTTTAATGCGAGATACGAACGTTCTGTGAAGTTTGAGTAGACCCTTTAAGTTAAAAGCTAAAAGACGTTCTACTTAAAGCAATTTAATATTTAATGTATATAAACAATATAGAATTACAAATATAGACAATAAAATCAATGTTGACTCAAGTAAGTTTGAAGATTGTTTATGAAATAGCTTAATTAGCCTATATCTAAACTTTTGTTTGATTATTAATGCTCAGGAGAAAAATTTCATGAAAATTTTACGAGGTAAAGAAGAATCAAAGAAAACAAAAACTATATATAGAGTCTATATGATTATAATAATAAAGCAACAAACATAATAATAGAAATATAGTAGTAATTTTTTTTAATTTTTTTAATTTTGCGCAATGTAAACGTAGTGAATTAAGTCTAGAATATTTACAATATAATTATTTAATAAAATATATACTGTATCTCAAAAATTAAACTAGATGTAGCCTATATACAGTACCTACATCTAAATTACAGTATATTATGTATCATAATAGCGTAAATCGATACCTCCTAAGGTCAGCATTCAGAATTAACATCTTTCTTTTCACATTTCGACTTTTTTAAATTATCCTTTTCAACTGTGATGTGTATTGATCTTTCTTTATATAAAGGAGAAACTCGAATCCTTAATAATCCGTCTTTCGTTAATTCCGAGGAAACAGATTCGGGATCAGCATCTTCCGGAAGTTGGAAAACACGTCGAAATTCTCTATATGCATAATTTTTCTTCCTTTCGTATTTTTCTTCGTGCTTTCCGGTAATTTCTATCTGTCGTCCTTTCATCTTTATTTTCAATTCTTTCGGTTCATAATGTTTTGTTTCATCCAGCTCTATTATAACATTACTTTCAATACATTTTCGTTTCAATGAAATTTTATTCACGTAATCTTTAGAATATAGAGAGTAAAGATTCTCTAATTCGAAGAACAATTCATTCTGAAGATCGGCTAACAAATCGCTGAAAGGATAACAACGTTTAAAGCATTTGTGACGTACGTTGTTATTTTTTCTCCATAAAGAAAGTAAAGCCATGGTTAAAAGTATTCACTAAATTCTGCTTTTAATGCTAACGTTTCAATTGTTTAAGAATTTGTGTATTTACATGCACTAATGTTTGTTCTATTTATTCTAGAAAGAGCTGCTAATTTCAGCTTGCCAGCTGATTACGACGTCATATCATATAAAATTGTTGGTGACTGTTACGTCATACCAAAAGTCAAATTGATTGGTGAGTAATTGTGATGTCATTTCAAAAAGTCATAAATACATATACGATTTGAATTATCAATACAGCTGTATAACTTTTTCATTTTAGAATTGCAGTATATTATTTATTTTTGATAAATAATGCAGATTGATATATTATTTGATTTTCAATTTTTTATAATAATAATAATTATTATTATTATAAAATAAAAAATAAGAATAGAATTTTAAGGTAATTCATATTAAAGTGTCTATCAATTTTAAATATTTTTCTCTTTGAAATAATATAATCTATGATAGAAAGGAAACTATTTTGAATTTTTCATTTCATTTATTTCTTATATTATGCCAATTAAAATATATAATTTGCCTGGAATCAAATATTCAACATATTAAAGCTATAAATTTAGCAATTTAAAACTTAAAGTATATATTTGCATAAATATATAAAATATCAGATACATATTGAAAATTACAATCAGATCAGATTGTAATTCTGCTACAGTATCAAGTGCAAATTCACAGTAGAGATCAGCTATTAATTACAAATATATTTGCTATAGGATCATTTTGTTTAAAAATTTGTTTTATTATAAATAAAATTTTATCATAATTGTCAAATTAAAATTATATTATCATTATTTCTGATTTATAGGCAAATTATTACTGTTAATTTTTAAGTTAACTTGATTAAAGGAGACTACTTTTAATTGATCAAAAATATAATAATAATAATGTTTTTAAAAATTTTTAAAAACATTATTAAACAATTGTTAAACTTTATGGTTTAACAATTCTTCGTATTAGTTAATTTTTCTTAAGATTTTATAATTAATAAATTAAAAATTATGTTTGTTTTTTCTTTAATTCTTCTTATCCAGATAAATTTCTAAAGTAACATAGTTTCTACTACTAATCATTTCTATTATAAATACTTTCTAGTTATTGTTTTAAAGCTGGAAAGGAAACTCACCAAAAGCGTTTAATTAATAAAAATTTAAAACTAATTTCTCTTAGATTATCAGCACAAAACCTTTCTCACTAATTTCTAGCCTTATTAATAGGAGTACAAACGTTTTCGGCCTTCTTAATAGGCCTTCCTCGGGTACACTCGGGTATTAAGAAGGCCGAAAACGTTTGTACTCCTGTTAATAAGGCTAGAAATTAGTGAGAAAGGTTTTGTGCTGATAATCTTAGAAATAGTTCTAGCTACATATGCATAGTAGTGTAATTTCTCTTATACAGCTGACTTAGTATATACTACAGTTCACATAAAGAAGTTTATTATTTTAGAAATCAAATTTGATTTCTAATATAATTAAAAGTTTTAATCTTTAAAATAATTTCTGATTTTAAATATCTAAATTTATCAATTATAAAATTTATAAAAGAAAATATTTTATAAATAAAATTTTCTGAAAGATAGTAATTTTAAATTTATAAATATATTTAGATTCTAAAACATCTTTCAATAATTGATACCATAGTATAAATTGGTGATGAACCTTTTCTGGATTTGGGCCACATGCATTTTTTTCTTAGACTGAGTACCAACATATTCCACAGTCACTAGTACAGTACACTAAGCCCTGAAATAGTATATGCTAATGATATGAAAATTAGTTATATAACTTTAATTTATTCTCATTTTGAGTTTAGTTTGAATGCTCATCATCACAAATATCAGCTTAATTAGGGTTACGTAATGGCATAAGACAGAAAATAAGTAATTAATTTATGTTTCTAAAGCTCTATGGACCAAATATTAGGACCTAATGCAGCCTGCAGGTTGTTTATCACTGCCATAAATAATAATAGTAAAACATCTACTTTAAGGAAATCAAAATTTTGTTAAAAATATTTCCAATTCTTTATTGAATTATTGTCAACTTATAAAATATTTTTGGCTGCAATTTGAAAAAATTGTAGACCTGTAAATTCCCACTGTCATCCATTTGTCCATTTCCTTAATCTCGAGAATGGAGTTAGATAGATGAAAGATGAGACCAGATATGGAAACTTATGGGAAGGAGGCCCCAATTAACTATATATTAACTTCTGATGCAAACTGGAAGTTGTGTTATTTTAATTGAAAAATTTCCCCTGAAAAGTGTTAGATAGATGACTAGCACAACTCTAATGTCAAAGGAAAAGTATGATGTACAGGGGCAAGCCATTACTAATTTGAAGTGGAGGGCATATACCAGACATGGGCAAATGCAGCTCTTTTTGAGTTACATGCGGCTTTTGCTGAAAGTGTTAATTTCTGCTTTTTACTATTATTTTTACAATTTTATTTCCACAATTTTGTGAAAATATGTTTATTAAAAAAATTCAATATTTGTTTTATATTATATTAAATCGCGGTACATAATAAAAAAAAGTACAGAATTGTGGCTTCCATGCATTTTGCAAAACCTACATTTCGGCTCCCACTGAACTCTTGCTTGCCCACCCCTGGAGTATACTTTAAATTAAATAAATTAAAAATTGCAGCCCGGCATTGTGACAATGTCCCAATAAATAATTGCTCATTTAAAATGAATTTTAAAAATTTTTTAAATTTTTAAATATTAAACAATATTTTAAGTAATGCTCTTTTCATTATAAACTTATTATGTAGAAATACAAACAATTGTTTGTATTTCTACATAATAAATTTATATAGGAAATCTTCGTTAGTTCAAAATTCAAGAAACAAAATAATTGTAACTTCGAATTATCCGAGATTTACATATTTCTGTACAATATGCCAATGCCACATAATTGATGCAATTTAGTAAGGAATTGAATACAGATACATATACAGAATGCTATTTCATTAATTAATAATAATAATAAATAAACTCTAGGTAAACAGCATGTCCAGTTGGAACCTCACAGGTCTCCAGATAGGTTTTATAAAAAGTAAAGCAGAATTCCTTGAAATGTAGCCCAAATTATTTTTAAAGTGACCCAAAATGTAGTAAGTCACCCAAATGTGATTTGATTGAGATATAAGTAGCAGATTGATTGAGATACAAGTAGCAGATTGAGATATTTGTAAGCCTAGAGCTTACAAATATCTCAATCTGCTACTTGTAGCCCAATCTTGCAATCCTGAAAACCAGCCATATTTTATGAGATAAGAGAAAAAAAGGGTAGTCCATGTGTAAGATTATATCTAAAAATCTGTTACTGTAAAAGTAAAGCCATATTGACCAAATTAGAGTTGTTTTTGATCTATTGTTCTCTTATAGTATGGAGGCACTTCAATCTAAATGAATGAGTTTACACACGTCACAGTTCAGACAGAATTTTCACTTTGAATTTTGAAGTAATCATATTTTAAACTAATCAAATTCCCTTACAATCCTCTATATCCTGGGCTGGGACAAAAGTATAGTCAACTAACAGGAATTCAAACTATCCGAGTTCAAATTAACAAGAATTTCCTTGTTAATTTGAACTCGGATAGTAATTTTAATGAAGATAAGAAAATGAGAAACAATTTTACATATTATTTCAGATAGTTTGTCCCCATCACACATTTGTAATACATTTATAGGAATAATAATGCAGAATTTTACTTCAGGTTATAGATAAAGAATTTAAAACCTTAACATTTAATTTTTAAACAGATAAACAGACTGTTTAAACATTTAAACAGTCTGCTAACAGATAAAAGAAGACAATGGGTTTCAGAATATGCATTTAAATTTTATTAAATAATGGTGCATGATATAAATGATATTTAATAATTAACAAAATTTTATTTGTTAAAATATTTTAATTAAAAAAATTAGATATTCATACATAATCAAATAATTTCATTGCATTTTAGAATTTATTACTCAATAATCTTTAGTTAAGTAAATAAATAAATAATATTTTTTTATAGTTTTTTAAAATGTAATACTGCTTTAATAGAGGGATTTGTTTAAAACTAAAACCTATATTTATTGTACACAATTTAAGATGAATACATAAACTATGCATTTATCTTATAGTAGATTTAACATTTTCATATGCTTCTCTCTCTAAATTTATTTTCCATATAATTCATTTACAATATTCATCTTTTTTATATTACTTTATTTTATTTTGTTTTTATTATTTAAATCATGTTATAAAAGTTAAATTTGTTTAAAGACTTTTAATACATAAAAACATAAATACATTATGTACAAATTTACATGTGTGTTGAATTCATTAGCAATTGTATTTTTATCACAGAAAATTTATTCTGAAGGTTTACATTCAATATCAATTACAACATGATCAATGTGAGGAGCATAGGATTTAACATGTTCCACGTGAAGTATTGTTACATTCCATGATTTATTATAAATTTGAAATAATAATGTGTTTATTTTTTCTGCTGTTCTTGTTGCCCAATTTTTCCATTCAGCTCTTAATAATTTTCTTCCTTTGGATTTTATTTTGTTGTCATTTTCATTTATAAATTTCGAATCAAATGAAGAATCTAGATTTTTAGTTCTTGCTATTTTAGTTTCGACATTAGAATGGATATGCAGAAATCCTCCAGTAGATCTAAGTGCAAGGCATGCAGTTTTATATCCAGGTTCGGATGAAGGAAGAAGACCAAGATTTATTCGATCTGCTATTCCAACCGGACACACCTATAAATATCGTATATGTAATTATTTTATAAAAGAAAATTAATAAAATATAAAACACATTTTAAAATTATGTTTATTAAAATATATACAATTATCTTTTTTGAACCAATCATTACAAGATTAATTGGTTGAAAAAGTGTTGAATAAAGTGAAATTGCATAAAAACTTTTACACAGTAAAATAGAAATGCATTTTCAAAATTAAAAGTAACTATGTAAATTTAGAAAGAAATATATATTTTTCCAATTAGTATAAATTAAACCTTGTAACTACCATTAAACCTTGCTTTGTGGCCACTTCAGTTATGTGACCATCTTGCTTATGTATTCACTCCTGAAATTTCTCCATATAATTGCATAAGTTCTAATATAACTAGCCATAACTATAAACTAGGACATCGTGCAACTTTGTCATATCACGATA